CTAGAGATCGAAGGAATGAGAGCTCTATCTTAACAATGGTGATTTTGTAAATACAGGTTTGTACATCTATTGTAAATAAAAAAAGAACCTTCTAAAGTGAGAGGCGTCTACGTGGCCGAAGGGAGACAACGTTCATATTGGTGACGTCAATTACCAAACTGAACGGTCAACTATCTCATAAATAGCTAAATGTGACCTCCGTATCTGCCTTTCAATTGAAAAGCATTTCTCTCCACCATGGTACACATACGATTTTCTCTACGATAACAAAAAATCTTATATCTCAAGAAGTAAAACTGGTGGAGATTTGAGACTTTCGTAGTAGTGAGTACTTGTGTAGCCCTAGTTGGCATAAAAGTTTCAAGTGTATACGATGTTATTTGGCTGAAATATAAATTTTTCTATTTTGGCCGATTTGTGCTCGGAAAATCAGAAAAATGGCTCGAATGAAAATGGCAAATTGGCAATTGGCTTTCTGAATAAAACCTCTTAGGCTTTTTTACTACCACTAGGTAGACAATCGTTCCATGTGGGTTGCATTGGGAAAGGAAGACTGCACCTGAGAAGGTTCCCGCGTTAGTTTTATGTTAACTACAGTACGGCAGTGATAGGTATTAGTCATTAGAATGTGACTTTTTTTCTGTATAAGTGACTGAGAGAAAAAGCGGAAAGAACGAAGAGTTTTTGATACCAGCGATTCAAATGTATTTGAACATGAAAAAGTTAGGGATTCCATTTAGATATTCTAGATTCAATATTATAGTTTATTTGTTTTATCTGTTGCTCTTTAGATAATTGTGGTATGGAAGATGTCGTTTTCAAGAAATCAACTTGTTGAATTTATTATTGATGTCACAGAACAAATCGGATTCGATGGAGGGGAGATTAAGAAGGCATTAGCCAGTTTGAAAGATGATCGTTTAGAAGAATTAACAAAAAAATGTTTTGGTATGAAAATAAGAAATGATAATGAACAAAATGAACCAATGCAAAAAGAATTGAGGCCGGATGTTTAGCATGAAATTGATCCAATTAATATTGACCGAACATTGGAAACATTAAAAAACCTGTTTCTTATTAAAGATGAGAATCAACGTGAGCAAGCAATTCTACAATTATTTGAAAGTATTTTGTTACGTTTAAAATATTTAGAAGAAGATCATCAGTTATTGAGAGCTGATCATCAGTTGTTAAAATCAAAAATTCAATCATTAGAAAATAAATTTAGTGTATTACCCTATAAAGAAAATTCCAGTGCGGCACTGGTAAAAATCAGTGCGGCACTGCCAGTGCGCACCGGTGCGCATGGCATGCCATCGGTCACTGGCACTGGCTGGCACCGGTGCGCACCCGTGTGCAAGTGCCGAACCAGTGCCGATTGGCACCCGAACGCACCGGTGCCAATATATTTCTGCTGAAAGAGTGCCACACTGGTAAGAATCAGTGCCGCATGGATGCCGCACTGGCAAAAATCGGTGCCGCACTGATAATTTATTTAATCAATTTAATTAGTTCTTTATTATGGTTGTTTATGCTGAATTTTGTGTTAGAGTGCGGCACTGATCAGTACCACATCGACATGCCAAAACCATGCGGCATTGCCTCGGCACTTCTCTTATGAGAAGGAAAAAATGAAGTCAGAAAGACATTCGAAATATTAGAAGTAGACCGTAGCGTTAATATAGATAGAAATTGTCAAAACAAAATTTCGGCACCGGTGCGCATCGGTGCCCAGAAAAAATAATTATTCGGCACCGGTGCACAACCAGTGCCGATAAAATATTTTTTTGTAGGGTAGACAGTGAGAAAATAAAATCTAAACAGGAATCAATCGTATCAATATTAGAGCCGTATCAAATAAGGATACTTCTATCTTTTCACGTTTAGGCAAATGTGAGCAAATGTCTATAGAGCGTGTTCTGATATATCGTGTTCTTTGTTCTGTGTAGTAAAGATATTCCTCGCTCGTCGTCAAAGAAAACAGAACGAAAAATTCTTCATTCTCTTGCATGTTTAGACTAAATCTATAAGCAAGTTAAGACGTATAAAAGCAGATTATATCTACAAGGAAGTTAAAGCATATAAAAGCAAATAAAAGCAGACTGAATCTATAAGCAAGTTAAGACGTATAAAAGCAGATTATATCTACAAGGAAGTTAAAGCATATAAAAGCAAATAAAAGCAGACTGAATCTATAAGCAAGTTAAGGCATATAAAAGCACATTAGAGCATATCTATAGATATTCATAAGATCGGAAATATATTTATCATTTCTGGTCCAATCTACTAGCAAAAAACAACAACTCAATTGCAGATGATAACTTTTTCAGAGTAGCTTTTAGCGCAAAGATGTAAGAAAAAGAGATTTTATATTTGTGAACTTCATGTTTATAAAGTAAATTGCTTAAACTTCCGAAAGTGAAATAGTTTAACTGAAGTACCACCACTACAAGGTTAAGGAGAATACTATATTCTTTGTAGCCGCCCTCTTATCTTCTTCTCATCTCAGCCACGTTTTTTAATCATTTCAATTGATAACAAAAAAAGAGCTACACTAAAACAAAGCAATAGTAGAAAGATAAAACAAAAATAAATTTATTATTTATTTGATTGTTTGAGAAGAAAGAGCTTCACGATGTTCATCGTTCCTCATCTTCTTCATATGGTTCTCCTTCAATGTGTGGCACAAGATATTGTTTCGTATATTGTTCAAACGGTTTTAACATATTTTCGATTCTACCTAATATATTTGAAACACGTTTTTGAGGTGGTGGTTGTC